TAAAAAACGGCCGTAGCTTCGTCAATTCTGTACCTATTTTCATACAAATGACATTTTCAGAAACCCTGAGTCTTTTCTCGGACGATAGCAGTTGAAAATTTTGAAATTTCAAAACTTCTTTGCTGACTTCTAGCCTTCGAAAAATGAAAAAAATTGTTTAAAAGACAATTTTTCTTATTTTTCAAAATTTTCAAATTTGACCTACATTTTTGGATACCTGAAGACCATCCGATTCCAGAAATATAATTTTCATTCTGAGTTATCGCCCTTTATTTTTCGATTTTTTTCGAATTTTCTGCCCATTGACCAACCCTTATATTTTTGGGAAAGAATAAATCGATAGTTCAGAAAGTCCTGGAACATAAAGCTATATAGTCAGACCGCTGGATAAAGCAATTTCAACAACGATCCGAAAACCGGAAGTAGTCGAAATAATGATAGATATTTCGAAAAAAAGGCAAAAAATGGGTGTTTTGATGAAAAACTCGATTTCTCCGTCCATTATCAATGGATTAAACGAATTAAGCTTTCCTTGAGTGGCCCGAGGAATGGACTGTCGAATGATGCCCAATTTATACGAATACTATGACCAAGCAGCAAAATATGACAAGCTGAAAATCAAGTATTTTCTGATTTTGAGCGTTTTTGGACGCCTTTATCTCCAAAACTTAAACTACAATTTTTTTTTTAACTTTCTCTATCGAGAGTCCTTTAGTTAGTCTTGTGCATGAAAACATCCAAGAAGTCTTTGAAATGTCTGGAATAGGATAAAAAAGGGACTGAAAATCGAAAAAATTCGAAAAATCGTGAAATTTTGGAAAATGCTATATTATTTTATTATTTAATCAGATTTTTACGAAAAGGTTACACATTCAGATAGCTGACCTAATTACGATTCTAACGATGTATAATATGTATTGAGTTATTGAAATTTAATTTTCAAGATTTTGACATTTTTGAATTTTTGGCACATTTGAACATAGGATTTCTCAGGGCCATTTTATCTGATCAGATAATGTAATATATCATTACAGAGCCCTGTGGCTATCTAATTGCCCAAATTGGTTATTAAAACTACCCCGACAATAATCTCCATACCGGACGTATTCAAAAAATGAAGAAAAAGGTTAAAAAAAAATAGCGCTCGTGCGAAAAACTTGATTTCTCCATCAGATCTTAGCGGACCAAAAGAACTAAAATGTCGCTGGATAGCCCCATTAATGGACTATCATATGACATCTGAATGATACGATTTAGATGGCTAGAAAATAAAATATGGTACGCCGAAAATCTAGTATTTTCCGTTTTGGAGCATTTTGAGACACCATTTTCTCGAAAACGAAAACTACGATTTTTCTTAAACTTCTTTTACTTAGAGTCCTATTGGTGGACTATGGCCTGAGTCCAAAAATAAAAGCATTGAAATAATGTAAGTGGTCCAAAAAGGTTCCTTAAACAGTAATTTTCCTTGGCCGCCATTGGCTAATTCAGTTTTTCAGTCCTAGATTAATTATTTATTGCTCGATTTGTATAAAACTAAGTTCATATACTCCGTTGTCTCAATTGTCATTTTTTTTGTTACCGCGAGAGTTATGTGTCGGAACCGGAAGTGGCTTAATTTTACCAAAAACTAAATATTCGATATTAAAAAAAAAAACAGTAAAAATCGGTGCTCTTGCAAAAATCGTGATTTCACGGTCAGGTGTGACCGGATCAAAACACCTAAAGTATCGTTTGGTAGCTCGATGAATGGGCTATTGTATGACACACTTCCTGTCTGATTCCTGAAAGCCAGTTCAGTGCTGCTTGCAGGTCTAATTATTATTATTATTATCATTTACCACGGGAGCCTATTTCTCCATGATCGAAAACAGATATCGATCTGGGGTTCAATTTTCTATCGGGAAACCATGCACGGTGGTTACTTGATAAAGTATTTTTGAAACTTTTGCGCAGACCGGAAGTGGCCGAATTTTGAACGGTAGCAATAAATCAAAAAGCGGCCGTGGTTTCGCCAATTCTTTACCTATTTTAAAGAGAGAGAGAGAGAGATGGGGTTTAACGTCCACTCGACACAAACTAGGTCATTTTGGGACCAACATATGGTTTAATTTTATTTCAATAATTCGCTTGCGCATAGGGGTCTTTAGCAGTGGGAGGAAACCAGAGGACCCGGAGAAAACCCACGAGGTTGGACAGGCGACCCTACTCCTTGTCACGTACAACCTGGGATTCGAAACCACGCCAGTCGACTCAATGACAGACTTTATGATACAGCGTGCGCACGCTAACCATTCAGCCATCCACCCCCCCCCCCCACCTATTTAAAAACAATTCACATTTTTGGAAACCCTGAATCTTTTCCGAAACAATGGCTATCTCACATTTTTCAATTTCGAACATTCATCTATGGCTTTTGCCGTTCGAAATCTGAAAATTTAAACTTTTACAAAAAACTTTTTTATTCATGAATATTTTTTAGTCGTGTTTTCCACAAAATTAACGAGTCATCTAACGTGGGCAAAAATGTGAAATTTTTTTGTCTCAGTAATTATTTATTGCTCGATTTGTATAAAACAAAGTTCATATACTCCGTTGTCTCAATTGTCATTTTTTTTGTTACCGCGAGAGTTATGTGTCGGAACCGGAAGTGGCTTAATTTTACCAAAAACTACAATTTTGACAGTTAGGTACCATTTTTCGAAAGCAAATATTATTTTTTTTAAAAAAACTGATATAACTAAAAGAGTGTGCCCTTTAAAGGCTCACAAAATTTTGGGCTCGTTTTTTTTTAATTTTGATTTTGTTTTCGAGCAAATTCGATTAAGAGGTGAAAAAAGGTGTAAAATTGACCTATTTACAACCGATTCAGGCTTTTCAGATTTTAAAATATTTCTACGTAACTTTTATAAACTTGTAGCTATAATCCATACGAAGAAAATGTATATTAAAATTAGTTTGTAATATAAGCAGTTACCTAGAAGTGGGCAATTTTGCATAAGTCACTGTTTTCGTTATTTTGCCTGTAAAATAGTCAATTATTATTGGATTATCACAAAAGCAAGTATGCGTGGTATCAAATTGATTACAATTTAAAATTGACACCGAAAGTGACGCCATTTTGTCAAAAAATGCATTTTTAACTTTTAAAATCAAAACAGATATTTTATTCAAATGAGTCTGAGTTGTTATGTTTTCAAGGTTTTTGGTCCATAAAACTGTCAATTATTATTCGATTTTCATAAAATTTCCAGTGTGTGATACCTAAACCCATTTACGATTTCAAACAAGTCATTTAACATTTTCACTATCAACGGAAATGACGTCATTTGGGCAAAAACTGTATTTTTAGCCTTCAAAACAGGTATTTTATTCAAATGAGTCTGGTTTGTAATGTTTATAAAATGATGATATTTGATTCCAATCAACAAATAGAATGAACCCTTACGATCATACAGATACCACAAAGTGGCCATTATTTTTCGATTTTCATAGATTTTCACCATGTGATGCCTTATGCTATTTATGATTTCATGGAACTAATTCAACATTTTCATTATCACCGGAAGTAATATCATTGTGGCAAAAACTGTATTTTTAGCCTTCAAAACAGATATTTTATTCAAATGAGTCTGAGATACCATACGTTCATACAGATACCACAATATGGTTTCTAACTTGTACGGTTGCAGAGAAATAGACAATTTTCTACAAGTCACTTTTCAAGGTTTTTGGTCTATAAAAGTGGCAATTATTATTCGATTTTCATAAAATTTTAACCATGTGATGCCTTCTGCCTTTTATGATTTCATAGAACTAATTTCAAATTTTCATTATCTCCAGAAGCAATGTTATTTTTGCAAAAACTGTATTTTTACCCACCCAAACGAACATTTTTTTGAAGTGAGTTATATTTATTATTCGTTTAACATTATGATATTTGACTCCAATGGATATATAGATTGAATCAATAAGATCATATAGATGTCCAAAAATAGCTTGTTGCGAAATAACAATTTTGCCAGGATCACTTTTTTGACATATGTAACACATGGTAACAAATGTATGAATGAAATTGATATTGCTGGGTTTGATTGATTCTGCGTCCATTTTATAACACGTCTGCAATGTTTATGTGGAAATCTGTTTATCAGTTCCATTGGTACTGAAAATGATATGAGTTCAAGGGTAAAGTGGCACCAAAAATGACATAAGTTCAAGGGGAAACATGGCACCAGTGAAACCCATCATTACTGCTTCACAGTTCTAGTTAGAACTAAAGTTATCGTGTCCCAAAGCATCAACCAATCAAATTGCTTATCTCTGCTTACCCTAAGCAGAAAATGCTCATCTTCATACTCCAATCAAGGCATTGACTTATAAACACCTACACCAAGTTTGAATATTCTAGCTCAATTAGAAGGAGAGTTATTGTGTTCCAAAGTCTCGGCCAATCAAATTGCTTATCGCTCGGCTTACCCTGAACAGAAAATGCTCATGCTCATTTAATTAGAACTAAAGTTATCAGGTTCCAAAGCATCAACCAATCAAATTGATTATCTTGGCTTATCCTAAGCAGAAAATGCTAATCTTCAAACTCCATCAAGGCATTGACCTAATAAACACCTACACCAAGTTTGAACATTCTAGCTCAATTAGAAAGAGAGTTATTGTGTCCCAAAAAGTGTGACGGACAGACAGACACATGGACAAACCCATTTTAATAGCCCCCGGCTTTCTACGAAAGGCGGGGGACAATTAACTGGTAGAGGATATTTGTATGTCAATTTCTCTACCTCAACCTTTTTATTCGTAGCTTGGGTAATCAAGCTCAGAACGGACTCATTCACAGGATCATTAAAGACGTTGTATATTGGTGGGGAATGCCAATTTTCCCTCATTGTTGGGGATCTGAGAAGGTGTGTGTGTTATACGTGGGTGTTTATGGTATATGGCAATTAGGCAAAATATTTTCATACACACACAATTATTATTCCTACCTTATGTAACATAATAGCTATGAAGACAATCATTGTAATATGATTTTCAGCTAATGTAATAGCAGCTCCCAATGCTACACCGTCAGCTGAAATTGATATAAAATACATTATTATTATTATTATTACAGCATATTTATAGTGCACCCTTTCATATAACATGTTCAGGGGCACTTTACAAAGTGACAATGTAAATCACACATAAACAACAAGATTATGGGCATGTTAAAGATTGTATACAGAGTCAGTTAAAAGCCTGATTAAATAAATGTGTTTTAAGTTGTTTTTTAAAAGAATACAGAGATGTACAACATCTTAAACTAAATGGTAGATTATTCCATAAAACAGGTGCTTGATAACTAAAAGAGCGCTGACCATAGGAGACTAGTTGAACAGTTTTGGGCTTTAAAAGTAGTTTATCTGATGTACGTAATGTTCGGCCAGGTGTATAAAGTTCTAAAAGATCTGAGAGGTAAACAGGAGCTAAATTATTTAAACATTTAAAAGTAAGTAATAAAATCTTAAAATCAATTCGATATTTAACAGGTAACCAGTGTAAATTATATAAAACAGGAGTTATGTGGTCACATTTCTTAGTTAAAGTAACAAGTCTAGCCGCAGTATTCTGTACTTTTTGTAATTTATCTATAAGCTTTAAAGGTAAACCAACTAAAAGTGAATTAAAGTTATCTAATCGAGAAGTGACCAGAGAATTAACAAGTGACTTAGTGGCCTCTACAGTTACACATTTACATATTTTACCTATATTTCTAATATTAAAATAGCACAATTTACAAATATTATTTACTTGAGCTCCCATAAGCATAAAACTATCAAAGATAGCGCCAATATTACGAGCAGAATAAGATGAAAATATATCACAATTACAGAATACAGAATAATTATTTATGTTCAATTTCAGAGTTTAGTACAGAATTTGTTTTCTTAATATAATTTTTGTTGTGGTCTGGGTGGTCGATTGTGTGAGCTATAGATCACAAGATCTGTCATTGAGTCAAGTGACATGGTCTTGATCAAAAGGATCATCAATGTCAACTAATGGTCAATGGGATATAAAATGAAATGAAATGGGATTTAATGTCCTACTGTTCTGATCCGAACTGTGTTTTGTCCCATCCAATTCACTAGACAGCTGTCCTTGTCAGGCCCTCCGTCCTGCATCACTGATAAGGGGAAACCATGCCGGAAAATCTGGATTAACTTTCTCGGCTAATGCTTAGCCACTTAGCCACCGTGACCCCCCTTTGGGATATAAAGATATTCTTTTAAGTTTCATCAAAATCAGATAAAAATTGTTACCTCTAAGAGGGTCCACAACCTACGTATTACATACTTTTACCCAATTTGCGTACAAAGAGCGACCATTTTGTTGGGCAGTTTCATTTCGATTTTCCCGAAATTCGAATTCAACCTTCATTAAGATGGAATGGGGATCCAATATGCGCGAATATCGAAAGGAACCAAGATCTTTGGATTATAAACATGTACTTCAAGTTTCATCAAAATCGGATCAAAACTGTGACAGCTCTAGAGTGTCCACAAACTAAAAACGTAATTTTTCGTACAATCTGGGGCCATAATCCAGGAAGTTACAGTCGGATATGTGCAAATATTGACAGCAACCAAGATCTTTGTGAGATAGACCTATACTTCAAGTTTTGTCAAAATCGGATAAAAATTGTGACCTGTAGAGTGTCCACAAACAAATTGTGGACGAATGGACCGGGGCGATGGCATAATACGTCACATGAAAATGTGGGCATATAAATAACGCTTGTTGAAAACGCTTGTTTACTTGTCGAATCCAAGTAACATTTTGAAATGACAAGTAGAACAAGCCAACAGTGAGGCTGATGTCCCCCGCCGAAATAGGAAAATAATTAGAGGACACATATAAATTTATCACAAATTATCTTTTACAAAGTATTGAACAATCAAACAGTATATCTTTACTTATCGTCTAAGCATACAATGTTTTTGATGGAATAATTATAGCATATTAAGGGGAAAACATGCTCTATGCCTACAGATCTAGAGTTTGGTTGTATCAACGGGTCTATTTTCCATCTTGCTGCAAGTTGTGCAAAGTTCACTGTTTTCTTTCTGTCATTAAATGTCAATTCATTATTGCATACTACATATTTAATTAATTTATAATAGTTTCTTTTTCAATTTGTTTTTTCCATTTATTTGTTTATTTACCTTGCCTATATTCATTGTATTGGATTGTATTGGAATTGCTCAATTGATGCTTTTATCAATACCTGGTTATAATAATTTTGAACATTTTAACTCAATTCGAAGGAGTGTGACGGACAGACAGACAAACAGACGACGGACGAACCCATTTTAATAGTCCCCTGCTTTCTTCGAAAGGCGGGGGACAATAAGCATACACACCAATTTTGAACATTTTAACTCAATTCGAAGGAGAGTTATTGTGTTCCAAAGTCTCAGCAAATCAAATTGCTTATCACTCTGCTTAATCTGAGCAGAAAATGCTCATTATCGATCTTAGTCAAGGTATTACTGTAATGAAACTATACACCAAGTTTCATCACTCTCACTTAATTAGAACTAAAGTTATAGTGTCCCAAAGCATCAACCAATCAAATTGTTTATCTACTTAATTAGAACTAAAGTTATAGTGTCCCAAAGCATCAACCAATCAAATTGTTTATCTCTGCTTACCCTAAGCGGAACGGACAGACAAACAGACAGACGGACGAACCCATTTTAATAGTTCCCTGCTTTCTTCGAAAGGCGGGGGACAATAAGCATGAACATTTACTCAATTCGAAGATCAACCAATCAAATTGTTTATCTCTGCTTACCATAAGCGGAACGGACAAACAGACAAACAGACAGACGGACGAACCCATTTTAATAGTTCCCTGCTTTCTTCGAAAGGCGGGGGACAATCAAAGTAGGAGAGTTATTGTTTTCCAAAGTCTCGACCAATCAAATTGCGTATCGCTCTGCTTACCCTGAGCAGAAAATGCTCATTATCAAACTTAGTCAAGGTATTACTGTAATGAAACTATACACCAAGTTTCATCAATCTCACTTAATTAGAACTAAAGTTATCGTGTCCCAAAGCATCAACCAATCAAATTGCTTATCTCTGCTTACCCTAAGCGGAAAATGCTCATCTTCGAACTCCATCAAGGCATTGACCTAATCAACACATACACCAAGTTTGAACATTCTAGCTCAATTAGGAAGAGAGTTATCGTGCCCCAAAGTATCAACCAATCAAATTGCTTATCTCTGCTTACCCTAAGCGGAAAATGCTCATCTTCGAACTCCATCAAGGCATTGACCTAATAAACACATACACCAAGTTTGAACATTCTAGCTCAATTAAAAGTTATCGTGTCCCAAAGCATCAACCAATCAAATTGCTTATCTCTGCTTACCCTAAGCGGAAAATGCTCATCTTCGAACTCCATCAAGGCATTGACCTAATCAACACATACACCAAGTTTGAACATTCTAGCCCAATTAGGAAGAGAGTTATCGTGTCCCAAAGCATCAACCAATCAAATTGCTTATCTCTACTTACCCTAAGCGGAAAATGCTCATCTTCGAACTCCATCAAGGCATTGACCTAATAAACACATACACCAAGTTTGAACATTCTAGCTCAATTAGGAAGAGAGTTATTGTGTCCCAAAAAGTGTGACGGACGGACGGACGGACGGACGGACGGAGGGAGGGAGGGAGGGAGGGAGGGAGGGAGGGACGGACGGACGGAGGGAGGGAGGGAGGGAGGGAGGGAGGGAGGGAGGGACGGACGGACGGACGGACGGACGGAGGGAGGGAGGGAGGGAGGGAGGGAGGGACGGACGGACGGACGGACGGACGGACGGACGGACGGACGGACGGACGGACGGACGGACGGACGGACGGACGGACGGACGGACGGACGGACGGACGGACAGACAGACAGACAGACAGACAGACAGACAGACAGACAGACAGACAGACAGACAGACAGACCCATTTTAATTCTTCGAAAGGCGGGGGACAACTAGAACTGCAAAGCAGTAATGATGGGTTTCACCTGTGCCACGTTACCCATGAACTTATGTGACTTCCAGTGCCACGTTACACTTGAACTTATCACTTCCGGTACCAATGGAACCGATGAACAGATTTCCACATAAACATTGCAGATGTGTTATAAAATGGACGCAGAATCAACCAAATCCAGCAATATCAATTCTAGTTATACATTTGTTACCATGTGTTACATATGTCAAAAAAGTGATCCTGACAAAATTGTTATTTCTCGACAAAATATTTTTGGATATTTTTATGATTGTATTGATTCAATCTATATGTCTATTGAAGTCAAATATCATATTGTTAAACAAATGATAAACATAACCCACTTTAAAAAAATATTTGTTTTGAAAGCTAAAAATACAGTTTTTGCCCAAATGACATTACTTCCGATGATAATGAAAATGTTAAATTACTTCTATGAAATCATAAATAGCATAAGACATCACATGGTGAACATTTTATGAAAATCGAATAATAAGTGCCACTTTTATGAACATTGAATATTAATTTGCAGTTTTATAGATCAAAAACCTTGAAAAGTGACTTGAAGAAAATCGTCTATTTCCCTGCAACCGTATAAGTTAGAAACGTTTTTGTGGTATCTGTATGATCGTATGGGTTTATTCTATTTGTGATTTGAATCAAATGTCATAATTTTAAAATGATTACAAATAAGAATCATTTGAATAAAATATTTCTTTTAAAGGCTAAAAATACAGTTTTTGCCCAAATGATGTCATTTCCGCTGACAGTGAAAATGTTAAATTTGTTTGACCTAGTCAAAATTAGCATAAGACATCAAATGGTAAAAGAAAATGAAAATCGAATAATAATTGACTCCTTTACAAGCAAAATAACGGGAAAAGTGACGCATGCAAAAATTGCCTATTTCTCCGCAAACGCTCATATTACAAACTAATTTTCACATACATTCTCTTCGTATGGATTATTGCTACGAGTTAATGAAAGTTACGAAGAAATATTTTAAAATATGAAG